AGAGCAAACCGAGCCCGGCGCGGGGCTGCCAGCGGGCGGCGGGGCTGGGCCGGCCAGCGCGGACTCGGCTCCCGCAGCGGAGACGCGCCTCAGCTCCGCTCGGGAAGGGACACGGCCCGTTTTCCTTTCGGGGCCTCTACCTGCTTCAGCCTCAGAGCTGCCCTTTGCTGGGCCAGGGGCACTGGCCTGTCTGGGAGAGGGAACTGCTTCTGCCATGGGGCTTTTCTGCTCTTCCTGCAGCCTCCAGCATTTAAGGCGCAGGGCTGTAGCCTGCCCTCCCAGGCTCACTGGCTACTGCTGCCCCTTTCCTCCAGGCATTTCCTCCATCCCTTTTTGAATCCAGCCGAACCAGCAGCTCACCCCAGGCCCCACTTCCATGGTCCAGTTCCACGGGCTGCAAAGCACCTCCTGGTGTCAGCTTTAAACTGATGGCCTGCCCCACTCATTGTGTGACCCCTTGTTCTTGTAGCCTGAGAGGGAGTAAATGATGCATCCCCACTGACTCTCTTCAGCATTTAGTACTTTGGAAACCCTCCTCATGTGCCCCCTCGGGCCTCTCCTTTCTAAACTGAACAGGCCCAGCCTCTTCAGTGTCTCCTATGGAAGCTCATCATCTCTGCTGCTCTTCTCTGGCCCTTCTCTAGCTCCTTTTTGAGGTGCGGGACCAAAACTGTGAACAGTAGTCAACATGCAGACACACCATGGATTTATAAAGGGACACAAGGATACTTTCAGTTTTGTCTGTAATTCCATTTTTAATAATCACATACATTTTGCTTGTCCTTGTGATGGAGGCTTTCCCCCGGTCCCTCCTGAAAAATAGGTCCCTTTCAAACAGAAACAGAGCCTTTCATTCTGAAAACACAGAAATGAAGTGTTTGAGCTTCTCTGAAATCCCCCCAGCCCCTTTTTTCTTCCAAGAAGCCAAGTGTGGTTACTGCTTTCATTGCAGGGATTTCACTCACCCCAAAACTGCATTTTGCACTGTCAGAACAAAGCCCTTTCTCCATTTCACAGATAAGGAAACTGAGGCACAGGGGGTCAAGAGCCTTGCTCAAGGGCACCCAAGAGACCAGTGGTGGAGCTGGGAAGAGGCACCCAGCCCAAAGATGCAGTTTAGACCACTTCACAATAGACTCTGCCTCACTATCCAGGTAGGATGCAGCCTATTTCTCCACCCCTAGAAACTGGTGTAGCTGCACTGGCTTCAGTGAAGCTACTGTAATTGGCACCAGTTGCAGATCTGGCCCATGGAGTTTTGGACACACCTTATGCTGCTGTTGAAATAAGCCTGCTGGCCTGTACTGTGCCCGCTACTGACTTCATTCAGAACCCAAACAAAAAACGATCAGCCAAATGCATCTGGGATGACTGCACCAGCATGTTTTGCATAGCAGCAGCAGTCAAGTGATTTACATACCCATGCTGTGAAATACAGACCAGTGACTGCCTGTCTGTGGGCACATCCCAAGTTCTGCAGGCCTTGCCTTGTTCGGCTGGGTTGCTATTGTGGCAGGACACAGGGGCTGGACACAATGATCTTATGAGGTCCCTTTCAGCCCTAAACTTCTCTGAATCTGTGACACAGTGCAGATGGCCATATTTTCCGCAGCATATAAAGTCACCATGGATTTGTATCTACTTTGCTATCATCAGGACTCTAGGCTGCAGAGACCATTGTGTCTGAGCAAGAGTGAGCTCTCTCAGAGGGTGGTCTAAAGCTGGGAAGTTAATTCCTACAGGAACAAAAGACTGTCAAAACCTCCTCCCTGTCTGCTCCAAATACAAGACATCTTTCAGCCTCCTGCCTTCTTTCACTCCTCACCGTAAATGGAGGCTGCAAGTGAGAGGAACAGTGGAAAAAACCCTGGTCATGCCCAGTTCATTCTCCTTTTCAGCATCCACTCTCTGCCACTGTGTGACCCAGCTAACTGGGCAAGTTGAACCTGCGGTCTGACCCAGTACGGTAAATGGCAATTCTTATGTTCTCCTGCTCCACACACTCCCTCTTCCAAAACAAAATAACCTCTACCAAGCCAAACCACTCCATGGCTTTACACCTACAGGTTTCAGGTTGGATCCCTGTTACTGACAGCTCACACATTTTGAAAGAGAACCTTTTATCCTAGTGTAAGGAGATCCTTAGGAATGACAAGGGATTTGTCTACATGGGCAGAAAAGGCATCTGTGAGCCTCGGTGTTTGGCAGAAAGAATCAATGCCAGTTATTGTGAGAGACCCTACAACCATATCCAGGTCTCGTGATATCATATAATCCTAGAACTTGCCACGCAAATCCCTGTTGATCTGTTTCATATTATAGGCACCAATATTTCTTGCCATCACCTGTTTTGGCTGAATCCTGTAGACATGGAAGTCATTTTTTAAGACTCTTGCCCACAGCCTGAACTGAACCTCACAACCAATCCAAACTCAGTGGGCTTATTTAGCACCAGAATCACCGGCCCTCATAAAGGGTCCAGTTCCCAAATCAGATCAATTGATCCATGGTCAAAGGGGTTGTAGATAACCTACAGAAGATGGTTAAAGATACACTGCTAGCTACTCCTAAGCTAAGCCTGAACGCTTCGGGTAGTACTCCAAGTTACACAGCTACAATGAGATCACTGCAATTAGACTGCTGGCTCTGGCAATGGGGATTTCGCAGCTCTGGTTTCTGAGCCCATTTGCTTCTAAACACAACAGGGATTCATTCACACAGGTGCATGCTTACCTGAAACTAGCAATTTTTTAGTTCCTTCTACTCCTTGGTTCCAGGCTGATGCATCCTGAAACTGGTGGTTCCTGAACTCAATGGTAGTAGCAACACTTAGCACTGATACTGTGCTATATTGCACATCTTCAAAATATGAAATGCCTCTGATCCTGGTACGGCAGAAACTCCTGAATACTAGTCATGTCCTCCTGATCATATGCAGTTTATCACACCACACTTCAGGTCAAACCCTGCAAACTTATGCACAGCAGTTGTATTTATATAAATGGAACTGTTTGTATGAGGGATGGTCACTCACTTGAGTAAGTAGTACTGGGCTGGTCTCAGGGCATCACAAGAGTAGCTGATATTTAATGAACTGGCACAAGATAATTGCTGTACATCATTTGAAAACTGAGAGCTTCTGGGGGATACACAGAATTAAGTCAACATTTTCACAAGTAACCTAGTGTACGGGTGACTTGCTTGAGAAACCTTTGGCTCAGTCTTAACAAATGCTAAATACCCACAGTGCTAATCATAGTCACTGGGAGCTAGGCTGCTAAGCACTTTTGAACATTTGGCCCAAGGGCAATCAAACAACAAGCCTATGTCTAAGACGGGTTTAAATTCAGTGGTAGCTCAAAAGGGTTTAAGCTGGCCAGCTAATGTGATCAGAAAGATAGAAAAAACCTGATTTAAATTAAATTATTTTACCAAGACATAGGTAACTTGTTTGCAATTAAATTAAGTTCTGGAAACTTAACATAAAGCCCTACATTTACTGTAATCTATTAAATTAATTCACATTAAAATAAAACAATATTCAAACAGTATGTGTTTAGAGATAAAATGTTAAAGAAAGTGAAATCACAACTGGTATATGCCCCTGAATAAACATTTAGCACCAGAATTCAGTAAAGTGAGACACTGGGTTTTGACTTCAGGAGTGTCTTTTGCAGATCTAGAGGAAATATTTCATAGATTTCATAGACATTAGGGCTGGAAGGGACCTTGGAAGATAATCGAGTCCAGCCCCCCGCCCAAAGGGCAGGAAGTCAGCTGGGGTCATAGGATCCCAGCAAGATAAGCATCCAGTTTTCTCTTGAAGGTGTTCAACGTAGGTGCTTGAACCACCCCTGATGGCAGGCTGTTCCAGACCTTGAGGGCTCGGACAATAAAGAAATTCTTCCTTATGTCCAGCCTGAAACTGTCTTGCAGTAGTTTATAACCGTTCAACCTCATCATCGCTTGGGGCGCTCTGGTGAACAAACCTTCCCCCAGGTACTGGTGCTCACCCGATAAACTTATAGATGGCCATCAGATCACCCCTGAGCCTGCGCTTATCCAGGCTAAAAAGCCCCATGGCTCTCAGCCTGTTGTCATAAGGTTTGTTTTCCTGACCTCTGATCATGTGCGTGGCTCTTCTCTGGACTCTCTCAAGCT